GCCCCCCTCGGGGCGGGCGGGCGGTTTCCCCGCTGCGAGGCGTTTCGTGGTGGCCCCTGTGCGAGGCCCGTCCTGCCCCCCCGGCGCCCTCCCCCGCCTCCTGAAACCGCGGCGCTGAGCATTTCCGTACCTCCCCGTTCCCCATCAGTGATACCAATCTGCAGCGACACGCAGCGCAACCGTTAACCTCCTCTCGGAACCCCGGCGGCCTGTGGGGCTGAGGCAGCCGGTACGCACCGCCTAACGGGCAAACGCGCTCCAGCCCTTGCCGGCCTTGTTACGCAATGCCTTGCCGGTGACCTCTGCCATCCAAAGGTAGAATAATTTTCCAAATTAATAGACTGTGTGACAGTCAGATGTGCCTCCGACTGATGAAACTGATTTAAGGGCGTACGAGATCATTGCTGAGGCGTGGTGGTATGACTTATGATGCAGTAATGAAGTGTGTACTGCTTACTTTGCCTAATGCTGTGAGGAAACATGGCCTACGCGGCTGTGTGCTTTTTCTGGCAGTTCTCATCCCAGCTGACTTCAAACAATTTAGCCAATTTTAACTAAATTTGACCAAAGGATAGGGTTTTCAAAGGTCCTGATTGTTCCAGCTGTGTAAAAATTATTAGCTAGGGGGAGGGAAGCATGCCCCCAAGAAGGAAAACTGATGTATTTCACTTCAGTTGGTGGGTCAGGCCACACACGCGCACGTGATTCAGCTAGTTTACACATGCACAATTGTGTAGGGTCATAGTGTCTAAAGCTTAGGGTGTCCCTGGGATGCGTGGACAGATCACACCTGGGCCTCCTGAACTCAGAAACTAAACTAAAATGTGCCATCACAATAGCCGTAAAATAGATATTCCCCATCTGCTTACTGCAGAGTTCTTGGAAACCTTCTTCCGTAGAATCTGAAACTCCACATATTCCACAGGCTGTTACATTATTATACTATTATATCAGGCTGAACTTGGGTGTGCTCCTGTAGGGCAATTTCTATTCTACTCTGACCTTGGGCACTACCAACAATGATGAAAGTCTGAATGTATCAGAAAGGAATAGATACACATATTACTTGACAAAGTTCTCCTGTTATTTTCCAGTATTTTCTCCATTCCTTGTGAGCAGAAACGATGAGTGAACACCATACAGCCTTGAAAACGGGAAAATATAAAAAACTGACATGGAATACACCTAAGGGGCAATGCAGTGTCTCATGAAGTAGAGCTAATTTGCTAACAGATGACAAATATAAATTGCGCAGTGGGTGTATTTTACTTTTTAAATTCATACCCATGATTTTTTGTATCATTATTACTTCTGTTGTACCATACTGTCAGAAAAATCAGTTCATTTTGCTTTGGTTTCATTGCTTTCATTGCTTAAGAGTGCTGCATTTAAAATATCATCTCAAAAAATTTATATTCACTACAGCTCCATTAGAAGTCTTTCTATAGAATGAATACTGTATTTGCTTCCACCTGGCTTACTCATCTTCTGAGATAACTAGATGACAGGAAGGGCATTTCAGGTTTATAGGACATTTCTTGTTTTAACTTCAACAGCTTTGCTTCATTTTGGTAGTACTTAATGGGCTGTGGGAAAAATACTATGTCAGAAGAGAGCTTTCTGAATTAATTAAATCCTTCATAATGTATATACTCTATATTTGAGTCAAATTGTTTGTTTTTACATATGCATTACTCAGAGCACTTTTATTCAGAACTTTTCAGAAATGTTCTTTGCAGTCTCATCTGTAAGAAGAATTTATGGAATATCATGGTGGTTGTCAGAATGAAAGACTTCACTTTTTTAACTGGAAAGTTTAGCTGAAAAATTGTGACTACAATGTATAGGAATAGTAATGGCTCTATCCAGTCTTCTTCTTGTGGTGTAAAGGATAGTAACATACACACTGAAGACACTCTACAGATTGGCAACACATCTGTTGTCTTTTAAGGATACAGCAGCAATGATAATATGAACATCTCACACTCAGTCCATTGTACTTAGTACATAACTTATTTGCCAGATCAGAAACTTTAAGTTGTAAAGATCAAATTAATAGTCTACTGAAGTCTTAAAGATTCTGTATTACATAAAATTATCTTCCCCCTGGCCCCAATGCATATGTATATAAATAAAACAATAAAATCTCCATATCTGACTCATGTGGTTCTGACTCATTTTTATAATGAGGGTCTGACACATTTTTTAAAAATCTTCTTGGACAAATGAGAACAAAATTCCTTCACAAAGATGATTCATTTACTGTTTAGAAGGTATGTGAAAGTGGCCATTAGGGGGTGATGTTCCTAAAACAAAACTACCCCAAATGAATAAATAGTTTCTATGCATGATTTTTCTCTTATTTTCATCGTGGTACATGAGTTTTTTCTTCAGTGTATTCATTTGATATTCATCTATCTGTTCTATAAGAACAGAACTTGGCTCTCTACAACTTAACATAACAAGACGTAAAAAGAAAAGTCCTATTAGAAAAAGGAAACGAATAGATGTTATTTTGCATAAAGTCAGCACTAAGTTAAAAGCTAAACCAGGAAGGAAGTTACAACCACTATGCTAGATGGGTGTGCTTCAGTGACATGTGCTTGCTTTTGAGAAAATCAGAACTCTACAGATTAGTACTAGCAATAATTACCATGTTTATTTTATGTTTACCTGAATTTTTCAAAATCCATGAAGGTGAGTGATCAGCTTTTAAAATAGCCTTTTATTCTGAAGTCTGATTGCAATTGAAAAGTCGGCACGTGCTTTCCTAAAAGCGATGGTTAGGATGCTGTACTCATATGGACTTTGCAAAGTATATAGATTTTTTTCGTTAGATTTTTAACCAACAGAGTTAATTATATGCGGCAATTTGAAAGGAGTTTGTCGTTCATTTATGTACACTGTAAAATTTTTGTTAACTATTTCCATCCAACTGTACTTTTACTATCTATCTTCATCATGGAGAGAGTAGTTAAAGTATGTATGTTCTTTTATAGCAGGTACTTATGTCTTAAAAAATAACTTTTTTAAAGTTTCCATACTTAAATGCCTATAAAACTTTGTGCAATTACTATCTGGTATGAGATGCTGTCTGTGAGAGAGGTATGCAGTGGTAACCTGACAAAACGTAGAGCTGAATAGGTGTAACTGAGTGAAGCAAATCTTTTCACATATATTCCAAATACATCTTGGTGATCCTGAAAGTCGATACTGGACTTAAGGATGAATGCAAAATACATGTGTGGAAGTTATGCATTCGGTTGCTCTTAAAAATCCATAAATAAATTAATATTAAAATAGTTTTGTCATATCCATTCCACTTTTGCATATCTTCTGTAAGGACAGCAAATAGGCAGAGGGTCCTAGTCTTTGCCAATGACAGATAAATGTTATAATAAAAAGCATCCCTTTGACAAACGGTGTGTATTCCCAGGCATGATGAAATAAATTATTTCTGAAGCATAATTTTCTGGAAAAAAATTAACATTAAAATATATCCAGATGAGGTTACTTATATTTACATTTCTATTTTTATTAACCACAAAGAATAAACATGACAGTAACTAGAATACAATTGATAGGTTTTTATAGTTTATAAACGAGCAAACTTGGTGAGCCGTCATAAGTTTTGAATATCATAAAGTTGATGAGTCAGTTTAAGATGTTGGAATAATTAATGTTTTACCTCCATGCAGAAGTAATCAAGGTATTTGCTAGCACAGACTATGCAAATAAACAATGACGTGACTATTACCAGAAGAAAACATTGACCTTACTGTCAAACATCAGAGAGTGAATGATTTCATTTTAATGGAATTGGATTTTCTATGGAAAAACACCCTGTAAATAGAAGCTTAATAAAGGAGTTTCATCATCACAGAACTTCCTAACATTAAGCAAGGGGGTTACAGATCTTTGAATATACAGCAGTTTCCTAGAGTTACTTTGCATGGTTTCATCTCAGTGATCCTCTTAACTCTTCAGGCTGTCTGTGTTCAGATTTCACAAAACCCTTTCCACATTTCTAGTGATGTTTGCATTTTGGGAAGGTGCTTCCCAGTCCTGCAGTAAGGAGCAAGCCCCTTGTGGGTACGGCTCTCTGTCTGCCGTGTAAGCCACTGGGAAAGTCTAGTGTTTTTGCAGCCCTGCTTACAGTGTTCAACAATAGATAGCCCTCCCTAGAAAGTCCACAGCCCTGTGAGTTGTAAGAAAATAAAATTTACTGATGCTAGATTGTAATTTGAATGGCTTACTCAGTAGAGATCTTTCACGAGGATGGTAAGCACCCTCCCTAACAAGACAGCATTCAAATTTTTTCCACTTGGCTAACAGGCCTTTTACATATCTACAACATGGCTCACAGGCAGCTCTGGAGCCTGTTCAGCCGTGTGTGAAGTCCAAAGTGGACTTCATAGTGCTGTATGTAGACTGCTGTCACAGCACAGTCAGCGGATGCCCAAGCCCATGTACAAATTTCTTGGTGAAAGGGGTATGGTAGGGAATTACTATTAGTTAACCTTGAGAGCTGTAGCAGTGGTTTTAGACTTGCTGCCCAGATGCACACATGCCTTGCCGTGAGAGCCGAATAAGCATTCAGTTTCTGCTCCTAGCTCATCTCCACAGAGAAGCTCTGCACAAAACAACGCCTCCTTCAGCTGGAAGAATTTGACCTCAAGAGGTCCGCTCCAGGTGGACCTCCACTCCAGGTCGCGTGGGTCAGATCTTAAGTGTTTCGAGGGAAATGTTTTGACTTGCCTCAGGGAAAGATCAAGCCCTAAATTTTGTCTGACATTTTTCCTTTCTGTATTAAAATGAATTATTTTCTTACCTGCATAGGATGTGTATCTTACATTTCAGTTATGTTTTATAAGGAGTTTATGACTCTCTGATGTAGTGTTAGTAAAGTGAAGATAATTGACTTTGGCGTTGGATTTTGGATTTTATTTCTGTATCCTGTCTGAAATCCTTCAGTGAACCGTTCCTGAGGTCAGCGTGCTGCAGTGTGAGCGCAGGTGGCCCGTTAAAGCTGTCAGATTGCGGCTGAGCACTGGAGCAATTAAAGGCTATGTTTTTCTCTCTGCTTAAGGATTTATGAACATATTACTCCAGTTACTCATATTGAGAGTTAGATGCAAAATTTCCTCTTCATACAGATGCAAGGGTACTACTACAACTGGAAGCTCAGCTACAAAACTGTAGGTTAGTGCTGCATCAACTGCAGGAAGTGGTTATTTGTATTCATAAATACATATTTCATGTTGGGGTTCCAGAAGTTTTTTGTTCTTAAATTTTTTTTCATGTTGAAAAAGTAGTTCAAAGTTAACTCAAGTAAAAATGCACGATTTGTACAGTAAAGCCCTACTTCAATGTGGAAGGCAGCTAAAATAACACTCATTAATAATTAATTCTATGTGTTTTTTGCTACTTGCCAGAACTGCATTAATGTACCCTAGCTATGGTAATTTGATACTGAAATTTGGCTATGAATACCAAAACCAATGCTCATAATTAAGATTCATGTTTGTTGACTGAATATAAGAGAACTTGAAGGGTGTGGTCAGAGGATTCAGCAGCGTTTCTGGGTATTTTCACTGAGTGGTTTCAATGTCATTGGAAAGAAAGTTTTCATTCTGATTATAGCTATTTTACAACATTATTGCACTGGTGTGTTGCAACTGCACGGTTCCAGGGCTAAGTTCCCCCTCCAAACATGAGTGCTTTCATCTTCTTTTCAAGTACAATCAAATTGGAGCAGCTTTGAAACAGGAATGTGACTAGATATCACCAAAAATTCAAGTTAGTATTCCAAGAGATTTCATACAATTCAGCAATAAAATCCAGCATCGAGGTTGTGGGAAGACTCTGTGCTTGCTTCCTCTCACTCGTTGATGCATTCAATACGCTGCCATAACCCTCAAGAAAGAAAGTGCATTTCATTGTAAGATGGTTAAAGTATCTGTTACGGGATGCTTCCATGCACGTATTTGTCCGTGTGTCCTATATGACTGTCTTGCTAATACAGTACTCTATTTTTCTACAGCGAACACTGTAATGGTGTCATGCGTGGATACCTGTTCATCAAATAACACCACATTTCCACTTTGTACTTTTAACAAGTCTTGCAAAAGATCACTGCAACAAAGAAGAGAAAACCAGACTATTTTACTGAAGGCCTTTGTAAACCATTCCAGTTTCCAAAATATTCCATGTATTTGCCAGTCCTCCGGGAGGGAACAACAGTCCCCTACTAAACACACAGAGTGTGAATCCAAGAGAGATGTGAATGTTGATCATCAAGGATCAGGGTCAGTACCTAAAAAAAGTAAGTAGGGGAAGAGAAATACTTAATTTTGAAGTAGTGAATTACAACATAAAAGACATGTTTTCATTTGGTAGTTAGAAGAAAATTATAATACGCTGCTGGTTCTCTATGGTCTTTGAAAATCTATGAACAATGCGGGTTTTTAGCTTGTCTTTGCATGGCTAGAAAATGCAGGTTTTATGCCAGATTCTCAGTGGCATTCATTCCTGTCTGTCAGTGACACATGTCTGTAGCAATAAGCTGATTTCTTTTCTTTGAGTATCTTGTATAAAATTGGGGGTGGTGTGTGTCATTATCTTCAGGGGGTTTTGTATTGGTCTGGAAGGAGGGTGCTGTGAGACAAGAGTGCCTTATCCAGCAGCCACCTGAAATATTGCTGTTGCAAATTTGACCTCTGCCACCTGGCTTTTATGAATATTATTTTTTAAATCTTGCTAAATTTTCTAAAATATTTCATTTATTTTTAAGGAGTTGTAGTTTCTGATCAGTTTTCACACTGAATTTGCTTTCAAATGTCATTGTGGAACTCTGCATGTTGATTGCTGATATTAGATGAAGATCGGTTGTGACCAAGTATCTGAGGAACTAATTCAAAGATGGTAACTACTCAGATGGCAACTGTACGAAAAATAACCATTTTTGTGCTTGTAGTCTATGATATCCACATCTGTGTACTATCAGAAATGGCTTTGCATGTTTCATAGAAGGCAGCACAGAATAAGGACTGACACAGCAATACGGAGAAGAGTTCTGCAACATCCACATCTTTTCAGAGCAGTAGCAGCATATTCCTTCTGTGCCATATAGACTTGCAAAGGATCTGGAAACTTTTGGGGAAGGGGATGCCTCTGAATTTTGCTTTCCTAACATTGTCAGCAACAGGGGCAACAGGCCAAGTCCTGAATGTAAGAAATGCAGTTCTTTTCCAAATGCATCATTTTCTTATTACAAAATAGCTGTCTTAACAAGTATGTAAAATAACAAACCAAAAAATACATGGACAAAGTCTGTTCTCAGTTATACCTATACAGCTCTTTGACAATGTCTCACCTACCTATGTTTCTTGTTGACATTGTGCAAGTCTCACAGCTTGTGTGGTTTGAAGTGAAACAAGGACCTTCTGCAGCTGATTGCAGATAGACTGGATGTACACTTCAAATCTCTATCATCATATGGCTTTTACTTGGTTTTTATTTTTTTCATAGCCTGATTTTTGTCTCTGTTACCTTTGATAACAGATGACAAAGCAACAAAAAACTGAAAAGCTCTGAAGCTGGTAGTAAAGGAAAAAAGGGGCTATAATTTGCAGGGGAAATATATTTTGTATAGATAATCAATACTCTTCAGATCTGTTCAGAACAACTTTACATGTATCTTTTTGTCCATTTTATCATAGTCAATAACGTAAAAGCCTACTCTCTGTTTTTGCAAATGAGACAGAGAACCTATTTTATTGTTCTTTCTGAGAGTTGTCTCTTTGTCTACCACATGTTACATAACAATTTTGTTTTAATCTTTAGGTCCAAAAGCAAAAGGCTCACTTGAAGTGAAAACAAAAGATGTTATTTATTTTTATAAATATTTTAATTTTACTACAGTTTCCGAGAAAGAAGAAGTAGAGCATAATACTTACTACCTGCTGGAAATCCACATCAACAATTCTATAGTTGGAGGAAGAAATGCAGCTGAAGAATACCTAAATCATTCCTGTCTAGTGGCAATGATGGAAGACCAAAATGACTGTATAAACATTTCACTGCAGCTGAAGTCTTATGTGGAATGTAAGTTACAAAGGAGAGTCAGAATGGAAATCACACCAGAAACAATATGAATCTTGCAAAAAATCTCCAGCAGGTAGTTCTCTGCTTTCAGCAACCATTTGAAAGTATTTAAATATTTCACAAGAAAAGAATACAGTTTTGATCATCCCTTAGTAAAAGACCATCTTTAGTAGGCAACTGACAGTTTTTATAGTGATTTAAAGCAGGTTTAGCTGTGGCTTTTTCTTTCCTAGAAGCAGCACAGCAAAGTAAGTGTCTACATTTTTTTGCTTAGCGGTGACAGACTCACAAATTGCATGTATGACAAAAGCTGGAATTACTTTTTTCCTCTCTTCTCCCCCATAATGGCATAACCCTCTTGTCTTGGAGGTAAATTAAAAAATTCCTGTTAACATCAGTGGCAGAAGAACCAGGAGACAGGTTTGACTTTTCTTAATATCGTACTGCAATATCCTACTAGACAGCCTTACTACAGTACACTTAAAAGAGAAATCTTCAGCTGAACTAGGCTTAGTTTTCCCAGAGGACAGCATGTCAGCTTTTTAAACTTCTCTTTGTGCTGCAGCAGTTTTTTGGCTGATTGCCTGACCGTGGTCAGGGCTTCCAGTGCGTCTGTATGCCATGCTTGCCATCTGGGAATTGCTGAATTATTACATTCATTTAGTTTTGTATGGCAAATGCATTTTATGCTGTACCTTTGCTGGAAGAAAATACATGTTTTGGAGTTGGCTGACTCTATGTTAAATAAGTCCAGATAAAATCCTAGAGAAGAGAGGGCAGCTTAGTTTTTTTTTTTAATAACTAGGTCTAGCTATGGGAGGAGTATAGTTTGTAACTTGCCCTGCTAACTTGTTTCAAAACTGTGAGCTAACCACCCTTTGCTAATGGTGATTTGCCTGGAAAGTAGTTATCTCAAATTAACAATAAAAATTAACAATGCATCTTTTTTCTATTTACTTCAAAAAAAAGCTAGAGAGGTGCTCAGGGCTTTGACTAGGCAAGGTTGATATACAAGTCGTTACAAGTCACTACAAGATGGGGTAGAGTACTCTGAAAGGAGCCTAAATGACTGTATAAAAGATATTTTTAGTTCTGAATTAGGAGGGATGGGCTGTGCTTACCTCAAAGAGCCATGGGGTTATTGGCAGTTACCTCACGACGTCTCAGTGGAGAAGACACACAAGGGAAGTTGATGTAGGTCTAATTATACTATTCTAAGTCAAGGAAAGGGAAACAGTAGTTCGGCTATAGTCTGTAATTTGATTTTATATGAGTCACAGTAACATAGTAGTTTTTTAAAATAGTTATTTGACAATGCTAAGGTATGCATTAACATGCGGCTGCCAAAGAAGTTTGAAAGGTCCTTCGAACAACCAGGGAGGAAAGTTCCCCATGTCCTTTCTCTGTGGTATATAGTCCTGGCTTGTACTAGTTACTGAACTAATTCCCTGCGGAATGTGAGTGCGTTTCTGCAGCAGCTGTTGTCCGAAAGAGCAGCCTACCTCCTACACCCAGCCCCACCCTGATTCTCCCCCGAGACAGCTTTGGTTAAAAAACTCCCCAGATGGGTCCTGTTGATGGCATTTCCTCACTTTTGATAAGAAAATTTCTATATGCAGAGTCTTACCTTCTCCCATATATGAAGACAGACCAGGAGGTTGAAAATGCCAGTACAGGTCAGTGTTGGACAGTGGACCAATTTTTTCTGTGCTCCATCCAAACAAAGAGGGGATATATATTACCCTTGTTCTACCTTAAGTATAAATGTTGATCTTTGAAGCATTTTCTTCCTGGCTGAATTGCATATAACAGTTTATACAAATAGGAAAAGTTTTCATTCACTTAGCTACATATAACTATTTCAGATATGAGGAGATAGATACAGGTGAAAATGAAGTTAAATTCTAGATAGGAAACTTAACCTCAAACAACAAAAAAGGCTGAAAGAAAAAGGCATAATCTTCTCTTTTGCTTTAAGTTTTCATCTGTGGGGATATGCATGTTCCAAAAACCTACCAAGATAGATTGTTCTGCTTTTTTCTGCCAGTGATTTCCTGCTTCATTTTCTCTCTTCTATGTTTTATGGACAGATCCAATGTGTATGGCGAAGATCATTTGGCTCACTATGATTCTGGTATTTTTTGTGTTTACGATTTCAGTCGTCATCTACAAAATAGTCCAAGACAATGAACAAAACTGTAAGTAACCAGAAGTTAATCGACATGAATTTAAATTTCTATGCAATGAAAAATGTATTCAGTAACAAAGCTGTTGATTATTAATGTGGTTCAGACACCAATATTTTAATTGTAATATGGTTAAAGCTTCTTATAGAGGGACTGAAATACTCAGATGATTGATACTATCACCTCTCACCTCTGAATTGTGGATGCAAATCCAAGCTTGTTGATGCTGAATGAAATATGGGGGTTTTGACAGATGCTTGGTGGCCTATGATCCTTAGAGATACGAACTTCTGGTTTCAGACTGATTCCAGTAGATAAAACAATTAGAGTTGAACCTTGTTGAAGGTCTTAAGCAGTCAATGACCAATATAAGCAGACTGAAATACCCTTTCCTTCCTGAAGATGATTCATCTAGGTCATTGTCAAGAAAAATTACGGGACAGATATGAGGAGATATGCACGCAGCTCTCTGTCCTGAAAACTGGTTATCTAAATTCAGCAGTGGTGTCATCCCATACAGGTCAACCAAGCTGTGCCTTCTTAACCCCAGAGCTGAGTTAAGCCCAGATAACATATTTTCTCTTTGCTGTTATTTCAGCAAAGAAAATAGTGCTGTGATTTCTGAATCAGCACTACTGACTATTCCAAGTGATTAAAACTTTGCTATGAAAGAACTTGTCCTTAGTTCAGAGACTGAAACAATTGTTTCTACAGAATGCCCTCACCAGCCAAGACAGGCTCTTCCTAGGCAATTCACTTGGGATACAGGCTGAAATCCGGATTTACAGTATTACTTCTAGCAATATTATTACTTATTATTATTACTTCTAGCAGTAAAAGAAAGCAAGAATAAAAGTGTAGGAGTACCCTGAGCAGAAGACTTTTGAGCAATCAAGATAAAGTCCTCTGCACAAAAACAATGCAGAAACTTGACCCTTTGTCAGCTGCTGGTCTTTGGTTTTCATCCCAAGTCAGAGGCAGGTGGTACAGGGACGACGCTCCCTTTCATCAGTGTGAAAAGAGTGTTACTTAACCTGTTACCTGAGATAATAGCTCTTAGATGCTTTTCACGGCAATTTCCTGAGACTTTCTGCCAGTGTCAGCCCTGAGTGCCCAGAATGCCTCCAGAGAACCAGCATTTAGTTGCTATTACCAGGCAGATGTCCATTCCCCTTGTAGTCCAGAGCTGCCGAATGGAAACCTTGGTCACAGGGGTAATAAAAAAACGATGAGCCATATCCATTCCCCTGATCATCCTTACTGTATCCACAGGTGGTTTTGTAACGAAAAAGCAATAGGAGTCTAGCTTTAATCGTAACTGAACAGAAGGAAGAAGAGTGCCCACACACAAAATGTTTCTGTGATTTTTTTGCATAATGTAAATATTTTATGCATATATTTTTAATGAATAAGCAAAATAGTTGCTTAAAATGGCAAATCTGTGCCCTCCCCCCAGATGATTAGAGAAACTCCTTACGAGATTATCTTGGTTAAAATACATGATTATACATAAGTAAAAACTTATTGCTAGACCCAAATTCTGAGACCTATTTTATGTATATAAAAATTCCACAAAGTGTAAATTAGGTCTTTATAAGTGGCCTATTAAATGCTCTAATTTAAAGGACTTTTATTTGTAATTTCAAAGCTACCTATAAATGTCATGAGTATGATTTTCTATGCTTTGAGTCATAACATCCCATTTTTAATGCAGAACTATTAGTAGTGATGATTAATGATTTACTGCCTTTATTCTTAAACATCAGTTTTCTGTTAAATGCAGGTTTTTCAGAATTGTCATGGACACAAGCAAGGAGGAAAAGATGCCTTTTTGAGGCTTCTAATTACTGATTTGCTTCTAGATAAATTTTCTGTTAATAGAGGAATAGTGGTTTTATTCATTAAATTTACAATATATAACATTATAAACAACATCAATATGTTACTGACAAAAAGACAAGCACATAAAAATCAGATTTAAGGGTTTTATTCCTTATGTGTATATATTATAATGCCACCATTGATTGCAAGTATACATACTGCTTTTTTCAGTGCTGCCCTAAGAACACAGCAGAATATTATGATGTGCCTAAAACAGCTGCTAAGAATTTTTAGTAATAATTCAGTTAGTAGTTTTTCTTGTAATTTCTGAGCTCTACTGAAAATTGGTAAGAAATACAGAATTATTCATTTCCTCTTGAGAGCTTCCAAGACATTCTGCTAGGCAGACTTTGAGAATCTCTGAAACATTAATGAAGTTATTTCCATGAGTGCATAAAATAAAATATCCAGATAAGCTTGGTGGAGGTTACATGACAAAGGAGCTAAATTAGAAATTAGTCCTTTTGCCTTTTCCCTTCCACCCTTATCTTCCGACCACTTCCAGAGCTTCCTTTGACATTAGCTGTTACAGTGCATGCTTAGGGCTTCAGTGTAGGGCTCCGCTGGCTGTTCATAAAAAAATCATGACCTAAGTAATGCTAATTTAATGAATTTCTTAAAGATGAAGTTTTCTGATGTTCTCAAAATAAAAAGATAAAAATCAATTCTGTTATGTAGAATTGGACAAGCCTGTCATCAGAAGCTGGCTGAGCCCTGAACTGCTGTCATTGTAGAACAGGGATAACCGTAACAGTAGCACAATCAACTGCAATAACCCCACCAAGAGCACGGTATTAAGAGAGCAGCAGAAGGATGGAAAGACTGAGGAGTTTATGAACTGGGTGCTGAGGACAGTCAGAAGTGTTCAACTCAGCTCTATCTTTCTCTCTCTTTTGGTGGTGTAGCGTTTGCTCTTAAATTGTGCTTCCAAAGGTGAGCACCCCACCCTTGCAAAGAATCTGTCAGCTTCCTAGGATGCCAGTACACTCCATCCTTGCTATTCCACTGTCAGCAGTGTGAGTCTGAACCTGTACTGGAACATGTACTTCTTTGATAACCTTCCAAAATTTGTTCAGGGTATTCAGGATAGAGGAGGGAAGGAATAATTTGAAAGGGGCAAACCTGAATGGAATTTCCAGCAAATTTCATTCAGGAAAATATAAAACATCTGGCCCTAGGTTTTCCTCATCACCTTATTTCAAAACCTTCCTGTTTTTTCATGGAAGGTGTTTAACAGTTTAAGAATAACATTTTTACCAGCTTTCTGTCTAATCAGTGCCATATGTAATTCTGTAGTTGAGGATAATGCATTTTGTTTAAAACAGATTATAAACACCGAGTAGCAGCAGTTTCTACTATGCTAAGAAGAAAGAGTTCTAGACATTCAGGAAGAACCATATCTGCTACTAAAATTCATCCTTTTCCTGGTAAGTAATACAAAAGTAAAAAAAAACCGTACAAATATTGAGGCATGAGGAGGTCAAGAAAGACATTTTAAGTCTTTCCTGTCAGAAGATGCATCAGGTTTGTTTCAGAGTTACCTTGATCTTATACAAATTTGATCTGGCTTATGTTATGGAAACAGTTTTATATCATAAATAAATAATTCTGACGATCAAACTGTAAGACTTAGATATACCATGTGGGAATGCTTCTCCCAGTCTTCCAAATGTGTTGCAATAATGACTTTGTTTTTTTTACCTCCTTTTAATTTTTGATCATGTTGTGTGTCACATTTGAGGTTTGGCAGCTGAGTGCTTCGTGTGTGTGTGAAAAGTATACAGACATGTACACAACTGTATGTATGCTCTGTGTGTTTATGACTCTTGACAAAATCTGCTACCAAAGGATGGAATGGATGGCTGTAGCAGGACTCAGAGAATGACTCTGATGGCACTTTGTAGCTTATTTCTAGGGAAAAATTCCCACAAAGTCCAATTTTCTAGTCTCAGATAGGAATTAAAATGTGGTGTTCTGAGAGTGTAGTATGTTTAGCACAGATAAATTAAATGACATGGCTAAACTCAACGTTTTGGTTCCAGAAATTATGATTTGGTAACAAAACTCTGTGTGAGGGGAAATTAGCAGCTGTAGCTCTGAGTGTTACTGATATTGCTGGAAGAGTCATATCCTTTAATAAATTCCATGGATTCTGGTTTCATGAAGGGAGCTCTATCTTTAAAAAGATTAACGTGGACATATGGAATAATAGCTCTGAATAGCAAATCAACCTCCCTCCAAAACAAGAACAATTACGAAGCCAGCAAATGAAAAAAATGGTTTTAAATTTGGCTAGGCTTGGGTACCTCCCTGTTTGTTTTGTCAGTTCTTCAGGAATAAGAGGACACTCAATAATTTCTCTCTACAGTAACTCATGGCATTTCAATTTTACCTAGGAAAAGGAGTACAATTTATGCTCCTCGCTTTTAAAGCACTGGCTACATCTAAGATGTATTTATGAGCTCATTATTTTCACCCCGCAGGAAAGGAATTATCTTTCTGACATCTTTTGTCTTGAGTAGCTTCACTAACACAATACCTGTTTTATCAGCATGTTCACAATGGTATTTTTAGTGTTGTATATCCAAGGGCATTTTTGATAATGGAGTTTTATGGAAATTCAGATCTAGTTTTACTAGATTTTACTGAAGAGAACAGGAATCCCATATTGGTCTGTCATTCTTACTTCTGTGTTCCTCCCACTTCAGTCTGTCCATTTAACCCAGAAAGATGGTTAGCTGATGAACTGCTATAATGGGTGTTATTTTAATAGGAAATTCCTTGATTTCACACACCAGAATTCCAGTTAATCCAGTCAATTTCACGATTTATACCAATATAATTTAGAGTGGAATCAAGACCATATGAAAAGAGTTTATTTTTTCCACAGTTGCTAACTTTAAGATTTGCTGCTGTGATAATGGGTTATAAATAGCTATAGGTGACTTCTTCTGCAGCCCTTGATAATATTTTCACTATCATTAGTGCATAGCTTGCAATCTTGAAACAAAACATTGAGATCCACTGAAGACAATACAACCACCCTGGAAACACTGTAATGAGACTAAATAACTATATATCTGCGAGGCTATGACAGTATCTCATATAGATGAAAAGATGTATAGGTACTACTGAAAGGTTATTCAAAGTTCAGAAAGGATAAAGGAAGAAAAAGAAGGAAACCTATACTTTGAGAATGAGAATGATTTCCTAGGTAGACTCAGGAAATTACTGTCTTAATATCACTGTGGTCCTACGAAAAGATAATTCACAGCAGGGATGCTAGTTTTGTGAAACTGTTAGTGGCTCTGTGTCCATGAATCATTACCATTAAGTCCGGTGGGCAGAGGAAAGGAGGAAAAATGTATAGTATGTTCTCTAGGGTAGGATTAAAATTACAGCCTTCCAAATTCATGGTACTACAAAGGATTAAGCACATACAGTGAGGATAGGGAAGCTTTAAAGCATTCTGGTCATAAATGTTGACTAAACGTTGTCTGTGCTGTTAAGCCAAAAAAGTATGCACTAGGGCATGGGCTGTACAGACCATGTTTGTAGACTTTGGATCTGTTCCTACCATTGCATTTATGTAAAAAAATCCCTTGAATGGTATGAATTGACAAAACACGGTTGTCCTTAAATGCAGCCAGCAAGAGAAGGGAAAGACTTTTTCTTCAGTGCAAGAAGTAAGTATTCTCTAAGTGGCTGATCTGTATTTCCAGACACAGAGCATTTTCATATCAAATAGGACTTGATAGTAGTAGCACGTGGAAAATAATCCACAGAAGAAAAGTCAATTCCTTACTTTGTGTTCATGACAGAGAATCTTAGGGAGATTCCCACATAAGAGACTTATATTGCAAGAATTTCTTTGAGGAGCTTTCTCAAATTGAAGAGGCAGTAGAAGAGGTTTTGGAACAACTTAATAAATTAATAATAGCAATTAGAAGGACTAGAGAGTATTCCCCACAGTGTTTTAAAAGAATTCAGAGAGAAACTGCTAAGCTGTCACGTGCAGCCTACTGCTTAAATCAGCCCCAGTTCCAGAGAACGGGAAGGCAGCTGTACTTACCCTGCTCTTACACCTTTCACTTAGCCCGTTTCCCTAAACCACTTTAGTACCTTTTCCACTACTAGTAACTGATTAAGTACAGCTATTCTCATATAGCTGAATCCTAAAAAAATAAAAGCCTGGGGACATGGCACAGAATTACTTGTTGGGATCAGGCCAGTGTGTGTGAACTGTACACTACATTATTAAAAAAAAAAAGTTGCACAGAAAACAGATTGCACAAATCAGGGCATTTAATACCTAGAGTGAATCTGCCTGGAAGGGTCTTTTCATACTGAAAGTTTCATTAATATAATTATATGGGTTATACTGAAGTGTGAATTTATATTACTAGAAGTCTACCACTATAAATTCCCATTTAGACCTTCTTTTCCTAGCATAAGAATTATACTCCTTGTTTATTTTTATCCTATTTTGAAAGCAGCATAAGGTCTATTGGAAAAAAGGCCTGCTCCCATTCCTATGCCAGAATGGGACCGTGCAGACAGGGAATCATATTGTTAATATCATCATGTTATTACTCTACAGTCTATGTGGGCAACCGTAGTTCAAACATCATGCCTTGTTCTACATTGCTCAAATGGTATACTTCCCTCATTTTCAGTGATACTCCGTTGGCTCACGGGGTCACAGCTTGGTTCATTCCATTTTAGGCTGCAAATACAGGATTCGCTGACTCACTTGTCTGGCTCACAGTAATGCAAAGTTAATTCTGATGGATGGTAATTTTATAACTCATCCTGAAAGAAGGACATTGTAGGATCATGGTGACAACCAGGACTCAGAGAATAAAACCTCAGGGTTTCTGGCCTGCAGTTGTTTTCTGGACTGTTTAGATTTTGTGACATCCAAAGCATTTGATATAAGTGGGCTTGACAGTGTAATTTGCACATAAGAAAAAACAAGACAGATTTCCTCTCAGTCATTTGAACTCCTGTATTGTTTTCTCTGCTATCCTATTAAAATAACAGTTCCTCTCCTACAAGATTAGAGGAAATATAGGTGAAATTCTGCCATCTCTCTGATGTATTGCTACAGCCTCAGGTTAGTTGACAGGTTGGAAATAGAAGCAAATGCTGGCTCAGTACTGTCAGGACTGGCATCCCAGTGAATTCAGGCTCAGTCCTCCTTGTATTCTGCAATACCTTTTCTTTTTAGCAAAGAGGACAGGCAAGAGATCTTTTACAGCAGCAAATAGATGCAAAGCCAAGAAAGGAGAAATTTGTTTAATCTTGGCCACGTGAAGCATCACCTATTTCGTTCTGATCCTTCTCAGTTCCTGACATAGCTGAGTAGTTCTCTTTTCCTCTGCAGCTTAGATGAATAATGCTGGGAAAAGCAAAGCTTGTCACAGTATTCAATATTTAACACAGACTTACATGTTTTTGAGATGCAACATTTCCAGAGAAAAATGTGAAGCCTTATTACAGCTTTGGGTCTTTTTTATGTTTCAGAAAGGAGGATAAAATCTATCGGCTGCAGGTAATTTTAGGGAGCTTTTCATAGCCCCTGTATGCTTTCAGTAGAGCATATACTGATGCACAAGGGGCCATTTCTCTGTTCAGTTTGCGTGCATGCAGAACAGTGTTACACACAGGCTCTGAAGGGGTAATCAGCCTACGTTCCCATTCTCTCCAGGTTCATCCTGAATGCAAAACAAGATCGATTACTATTTTTAAAACTACCTCAGTTTTATTTTAACTTTGCTTTTCATATTCAGTTGCTTAATTACCAAGGTTGAAACTCCACTTTTTAATTGCCTTTGTAAAGGGAGAAGCCCAAATGATATAGTGAGTGGAGAAGGGATGTAGCTACATGTAAGTGACACGGTTCATCCTCTTGTTATGACTCAGTAGAAAACCCATTTGTAGGTTTACAGAAGTTACGGTTGGGGACAGGATGGACCTGGAGTTAAGATATTATTTGTGTTCTACAGTAGCTCTTTGAAAAATGTTGCAGTCAACAACTCTGACTTCATTAACCTGACAATGCTATTTCTGTGTTTCTTCATCTGTATCCCAGTAAGATATCATATCAGTATCTGTGTTGCCAGCATGCTACAGGCATCACCACACCTTGCCCTGCGTCTGAGGGGCATGCTGTCATCTTTGTTAACAACTGGATGATACCCGGTAGCTCTCCCTGTGTGTGTGACGAGTTAGCTGGGGCCGCATCACGGGTTCCTGAGCGGCAACCTGGGCTGCCCGTATGTGAAAGTAAATCAGAGAGTTCACACTCTGAATTTCAGTTGTTTCCACTTAACTGGCCAACTGTAGGTTTTTGAATTTTAGGAGACTCTTAGTTAACCCCAAATTTGCATGCTTTTATATTTTCACTACTAGTAAAATTTCCAAGAGCAATTTAGTTGCCTACCTTTGAGCTGCTTCCCAGGGAGACTTAGGATCAGCATGTTGTAGTCCCATTAGTATCAAGAGGAAGTTAAATGCAAAACATGGTTCGTACTTGGAGGAGTTCCTGACATGTATCTGCATCTCTAGGCACTGAAATCCCACTGCAAAACTGGCTGTCCTCCTCTGCCTTGTGTTCAGATAGGTCTCAATTATTTTCAAACTTCCAGATTCGATGTTTAACACTCTGCAGATGTATTTGCTGTTTAATAATATTGATAAAAATGATTTTAACTTTCAGTAGTGACAATCAGCAAACAACAGATTCCATTTACTGCACAGACCACAAAGATACTGCCCATAATTCCTGAACAAGAGTATTGTCACGTGGGTGCATCAACTGTAGAAGGTAAGTAAATATCTTACAACTACAACTACTCTGTTTTACCTCATATTTTTAGAATTAATAGTCTGCAATATCTGCTCAAAAAAAATTACTACTTCTTCTAGCCAAGTATATGAGATGACAAACTGGAAAATGTGTTTTGTGAGAGCTAGGTGGCAGGGAAACAAAATCAATTTTCCTTCTGCTACCAAGAGTCACCTATAAACCAATGTGTTAGCCTTTTAAACCCCGTGTGTCCCTGAAGGCCCCAATGCAAATTCTGACACTATTTTTCTGGTGTCCTGGACTTCAGCATTATGTTGACATTTGTTTCTGACAAAAGCAGAGGAAAGAAACAATTTGCAAATGATCTCTGAAGGGAATCACATGTTTGAAATAAATAGTTTGCTGATCAAATTCCCCAAACGAAAGAAATTGATCGCTCTGTCGTTATTACACCAGTCAGAAGGAGTGACAAGAAGTTGCTTTCAGCTTGCAACTAAAACTAGTCTCCCACTTCTAACTTTCTCCAGCCCTTGTCCTCCAGTAATTGCTTCAGGAAATCCAGATGTAAGGAAACAAGTCTGAAAAGAAATGTGCAGTAAGAGATACCTCTTCCTGGCAATACTTGTAATGAAACGGAACAGATGCTACTTGAATAAGTAATACAGACTAATAGATCAATTGCATAGACAAGGTTATGGCTACTTTCACAGATTATATTACTGTTTATGGTGAATTTTTTAGGTTAAAAGCTTAAGAAGGTCCTTCTTTGCATCTGTTTAAATTGGATGGAGTTTTATTGAAAACTCAATATCATGTCGTGCTACCTTTTTAATGTGTTGAAATAACT